CCCCAGCTTGTGTCCTTGTCACAATTGTCTACTCTAATCCTCACAAACCATCCTGAGAAGCGGATATTGTTCACTCTCACTATTGTTTGAATAGGGGACGGATGCTCAGAAACACTCGGTGACTGTGCAAGGTCACACCGATGCCAGTATTTACTCTTGTCGGCTGAATGCTGCCTCCATTTTTTTCCACCTTATCTTATGCATTCTGAAGATCTCTCTGAAAGAGAAAATGCAGCGTTATGGCTCCCCGTGCAGCCTGAACTGTTAGGGTGTGAACCGGCTTTTATGGAACAGCCTGCTTTTTTTGACACGAGCAACGTCCTTTTCAGGGAAAAAAAAATCCTTATAAATCATCCACCTGGGGTTTTACCTCCGTTACTTTATTTTCATCCCAGATGAGCTCCGTGGCCATTCTTACACACGCCTCAGAAGGTGGAATTCACGACCAATCAGTGTGCAGTCAAGAAAACAGAAACTGCATCAGGCATTTCATAGGGAGACTTCAAACAGGGAACTGGTCACAACTTCTGACGGGATGGAGGAGCTGTCATTGGAGACAAGCACTCACAGAAACAACCAAGCCCCCTGGGCTGGTGGACCAAAACGAGGAGCGCCATCGCCCCTGCCTCTGTGATGCGTGGAGTGGGCTGTTGTCTCGCCTGCCCACTGACTGGCGATGAGTTTCTAATGTCCAAGCAGTGTATAAGAATGACCACAGCCACGATTTGGAATGCAGATCAAATATTGGGGACCCAAGCGCACTGGTCTCTGGGGTTCCTGAAACAACATTGTCTACTGTTCTGGAGAGCACCCCCTGCCACCTCTGGCCCCTGAGCAGGCGGCCAGGAGTGCCCCCACACTGCCAGGGCAGGGCAGCTGAGGCCCGCGGACACCTGCAGGCACCCAGCGCTCCTGCCGTGGCAACCAAGGCAGAAACAAATAGATTTTCCCTTATGTACACTTTCTAATCTCCCATGAATGCTGCTCATTAGTGGAATCTAAATGGAAACCAGCAGGCAGGGGATTTTGGGAAATGTGGTTTCCAGGCTCTGGGCTCCTGCAACACAGGGGTGTGTAGAGTGAGTATGTGAGCAATAGACAGACATCAGCTGTCACCACAGCTAGAGCTGCCAGACTCCATCACTTTGGATCAGTCACAAGGATTGATCTCGCGTGGGTGTGATGGTCCTCAGTCACAGCTGTGGGATCGCACAGGGCAGAAGCTTAAGGAGAGTCACGGCATTTATATATATGGCATTTAAATAAATTTATTTATTTATATCTAAATAAAGGATACGTGTGTGGGAAGGAGAGGAAAAATCCCTGCTCCAGCTGGGGTTTAAGAGAACACAGCCGGCCCGGCTGAGTGGCCCGGCCCCAGTGAAGCTGGAGCAGTGTCGCTGCCGCACGGGCTTCGTTCAGAGTCCTCAGCCTCTTCCCTCAGGCTCCTTCAGGTGGCGAGAAATAGTGCCAGGGACCTTCAATGGCAAGTGTCTCAGGTTGGGTTACCCAGGAAACAGATTCTGAGACAAAGACTAGTGTACAGGAAGTTTATCAAGGGGTGTTCTCGGAAACAAAACCCAAGAGGGAGGCAGCGAAGCAGGAGCAGACAGAGAGGGGGTGCCGAAACGTTCCCCATGGGACCTCGGGATCCTGAGTGGTCTTGAATTGAGCTGTGGAGGCTAGAACTATGGCCCTTCACATTGACCATTGGATGTAGGCTGGCCCCCAGGAAGGCGCATACCCTCAATTGACATCTTTGGGTGCAGGGCAACGCAGCAGCAACCAGATGTCAGCTGCCGGGTACTGAGTGCCCTCATCCCGAGGGGGCATCGGGCAGCACACCACGCACCCACCGCTCAGTATGGGGCAGAGTCCACTACTGCTTAGGCCACGGTGCTCAGCCACCTCGGTGACACCCTCTGCTCTGGCAAGAGAGGGAATCTGGCCACCATCCTAGCCTAAGCCGCCATCGCTTCACATCTGGGTTGCTGGCTGCTGGGAACCTCCAGTTTCTCTGCTTCCTCGTTTGCCTGCTGCCATCCATCCACCACCCCACGGCCAGAGCAGTCCCCTCAAATGTTAACTCGGATCACGGTACTTACTTGCTTAAGCCCCACCCCTAGGCTCTCGACCACCCTTGAGAGCCCCATCACGACCTCCAGGTAGAAGGGGATCTGGCCAGCTCACCTCCCTGCTCCCCAGGCTGGCCCTTTCTGTTCCTTTCCCACCCGAGGCCGTGGCTGTCCCTAGAGCTTCCCCTTCATAGCACGAAGACCTCAACGCCAACATCCCCTTTGCAGTGAGGTCTTTCCCAACCACACAAATTTGCCCCCTCTCCCAGCCATTCCCTGTTCGTTTCCTTCACAGCACTCTTCACTCACAGAAATTATCTTACTCGTTTATTGGCAGACTTGTCTGGTTTGTTCCTCCTAATCAAATACGAAGCTCTGCAAAAGCAGGAGTCAGCACCTACAAGGGTACCCGGCCCGGGGTGGGTAAATATTCGTGCAACTCTGTGTGAATGGACCACCTTCTCATACAAAGGACACATCGTGGACAAAACTTCATGAAAATCACCTGATCAGTGTGTGGTCTTTCCTCGCATCCAGTCTCAAAGAGGTTGTCCTGGCTGGGACAACAGTCCCTGTCCTGTCAGCCATGGTCCAGGGAACAGAGTCAGCCTCAGTGGTCCGACCCAGCAGGTGCCATGGCGCCTCCTTCAGGAAAGAATCACGGGTCCCACCTTCCTCAGACGGGGGCTTTGCAGAGCTCCTTGGCTTCTTCTCTGGTGCGGACCCTCAGCCCAGCCAGGCACCCACCTGTGTGGGTGTCGTGACTCAGGGCCCGAGAGTCCTCAGATTTCTCCTGTGGCAGACAATGCAGTGTGGTTCGAGAACTCAGTCTCCTGGGGGCTGATGTTTCTGCCTGGGTACAGGTCCAGCAGTTCATCCTGTACCAGCGGAAATCACACAATGAGGAGAGTCTCTTCCCAAGGCTTGGAAAGCTTCTTAGTGCTTAAAAAAATCTCGTGTATTCCAGCTCTCTGCTATGAAACATGTTTTAGTAAAATGACCACTGCCACGTACGGAGGCCTGTTGCTGACAAGGCTGATGCCATCACTCAGGGAGAGCTAGGTCCGCAGCTCAGACCTGGCCCCTCCACCGCCTTACCTGAGAAATCAAGGGGGTGGGAGGAGCTACTGTAAGAAAAAAATGATTATTGTGAGTAAAAACTAAAGTGGGACAGGTCTTACTTCAAAGGTGAACTAATTCATTCTGTCGAAAGGTAAAGGGAGGGGGGGAAAGTAAAGGGAAATCCTTCCTCATCCCCACCCCATACCTCATTCCACTGAAGCTTTGAATACTATTCCATATGCTTTTTGCAATAGTTTAACTAATAAGGATTCTGCAGAATTTGTCCGCGTTTTCTATCTAGAAGTCTTTGGAATTCTTCAAAGCTTGGCAGGAAGTGGATGAATTAGGTGGATCTCCACCCTTGTCAGATGAAGAAATCTCCTCCCATATTTCTGCATCTTTCCCACCCATGCAAAGGGCTATTTGCATAAAAACGATCCTTTTTGGAAGGTGTTCTGTGTTTTTCAATCATCCCTAGAAATAAAATCACAGCTCCTGTCTCACCTTACACTGAAGTGTTTTCACACGCCAGGGGATTGCTTACCGGCACCTAAATATAGAATGCAGTGGGCTTTGATTTCAGACCGATACTACTCACAGCTGTCTTCAGGATTTCAACGAGGTGTCAAAGTGGCCTTGGAAGGTGTTCCTGGTTCTGAGAACAGGTTGAGTGATTCTCTTTCTGTGCCAGAGGGCCTCCATCTTCGGGTTTCCACCAAAGGGAGATGCTTTCTGGCACCTTCTCCTGAGGTTTCAGCAGGATCTGGACTTGGGCTATTACCTGACGATGTGAGAGAACAACTGAGGGTAAAGCCATGTACCTTCAAGACCATTTCTCTCCCTGGTTTCTCAGTACAGAAAGATGATGGGGAGGAATTTATTTCCGGACCAGAAACAACATGCTATCATGAAACAGCACGGTCATTGACATCAAACTTGAATTTGAACTCCAGCAGCTTACAATGACCTCACATAAAGTGCATCGCCTCCCTCAGTTTCTTTTTTTTAAAATCAGGACTATTCCCCTTTCCACTCAAGCTTGTCATAAGATCCACTGATGTACTGTGTGCCCCTTTCCTTGCATGGCTGCAGAAGTTGAGGCGGCCCATAAATTGGCAAGGAGAGACCACAGTTCTTCATGTTCCCAGTGTGTTTTGCTCAGCGTCTGGAACCCTGGCATCAGCCGGCAAAGCAGATGTGCAAATGACACTCATTATCTTTAGCCCCCGGGGTCCCTCATGAAGGTGCTCAGCTGCCTGTGACACTAGTCATGTCACGGGCTCAAGAAGCTTAATTTTGTGCTGCCCCATAGCCCTGTTATAATTGGGGCTGATGTCATCACTCAGGATGAACTTATAAAAACATGCTCTGCTCTTAATACGAAATGCTAACCAACCTCCAGCCCCTCTCTGGTCCTCCAGCCAAATCACCTCGGCAAAGCTGCCCATCCTTACTGGTGGGGCAGGGGACCAGTCAGGGCCAGTCTCCGTGGACCTCACCCCTGCCTCTGTCTCGCCAGCACCCTGGAAGACCTTGGTCCAGGTTATCATGGGACATGTGGATGTTTAATAAATAGCTGGGCTGATGATGATGATAAGTATCTCGGCTTTAATTCACCTGTGTTAGTCCCAGTATGGATTTTGTGCTCTTTAAATTAACCCGATAAAGGGACACAACCGCTTTAAAAACAATTAGTTTAATTATGCATCTGTGGTCCAGCAGGATCTAGCGGGAGTCTGTTTTTCCTCTAATATTAATAACTGCACTGTACAGTTAAATGAATGTCAGCGGAGATCAGCAGCATCTGAGCTAATACGGCATTTCTCTTCTGTTCCTGTTTGTTTCGTCTTGTTTTGTTTTTAGGGTCAAGTTGTGTTCCGGAACGGGGAGAGAATGGGGACCATTAAATTTACTCAATTTCAAGGTAGGCTTTTTGATGCTGCTTCTTTCTACTTGATGAATTCTGTATTCAGGGATGTTGTTTTATGCCATAAAAATACATCGAAACAAATGGAAGTATGATGTTCCTGATAAGAGAAATCAACATCAATAGAAAACACTTCTCTGTGAAAACATTTGTTTCAACGTATTTAGAATTTTTTTCTCAGCTGTGTGCCTTCCCAGGCCAATTCAGTCTCCCCACGTGACTCACAGAGACCTGTGAAAGTACCGGGGTGGGGGCGGGGAGCAATCAGTCAGTTCCAACATTCTGGGAAACCTTGCATCGTTTCAGTGTTTGGCCATAGAAACTTTCCGACTGTTGACAGAGGTTGACAAGTAGTGAGCGAGCCTGTCTGGCGTCACCCAGCATCAGTCCCGGCAGCGTGTGGCCAGTCCCACTGTCTCCTGGCCCACACTGTCACCCCGGCCCTTGTTTGCTGTAATGTTGCAAAGCAGCTCCCAGACATTATCTCATTTCAATCTATAAATACTGCAGTATGCATTTCTACGAGATAAGGACTTTTAAAAACATAACCACAATACTATTATCACACTTGAAGCATTTAACAATTATTCATATCCTTTCATTTCCAGTCTGTGTTGATTCTCCAATTATTTCAAAAATGTCTCTACACTTGCTCTGGTGGAGAATCCACCCAAGGTCCATTCTTTGTACTTGGTTAATGTGTCCCTGTAGGTCTCTTCTTATCTATGAGCACCTCCCACACAGGCCATTTATTTATTTATTTATTTTTAAGAAACCAAGTCATTCGTTGGATTTAAAAAAAAAATTTTTATTGATTGATTTTAGAGAGAGAGAGAAAGGGGAGTGGAGAGAGGGAGACAGAGAAAAACACTGATTTTTTTTGTTCCACTTTTTAATGCATTCATTGGTTGCTTCTTTAATGTGGGCGGATATGAGATCAAACCCACAGCACTGGCATATTGGAGCAACACTGCAACCAACTGAGCTACCCGGCCGGGGCTGCTGAACTTCGCTACTGTCAGAGGTGGAAGGGGCTCGGAAATCGTGCCAACCGAGTTTCCTATGTGATGAGGAGGAGGCGGAGGTGCAGAGGGGCAGTGGCTTGTCAGGGCCCCCGTGAGGAGTAGGGCTGGGCACTCCTCAAGGCAGACCCTCAGCGTGGTCCTTTGCAGGGTCCTTAGCCAAAAGCACCAGACAGGTCATTTATCGACGCTGTGTTTGTCAGCCCCTGGATGTTTCTGAACACCGTGCTTCTGTGTCATCTCTCTCTGAGCAGATCCCAAAGTCATCCAGGAGAAAGCGAGAAATGAAATCAGGTTACTCAGATTCATTCAGACATATCCCCACTGGATTCAGATCCGTCAAGGGAGGTGTCCTTGGGTACTATCGCTCCGTAATGCAATCTTGTAGATTTACCCATTTGTCTTCCCATGGCAGGTAATTGAAACGTGTGTCAGCTCTCCGACGTGCACAAAAGATGTAATTTTAGGTAAATGTAATTATTTTCCCATTTGTTAAGTCTTACTTCTTCATTGGTTGAACCAAGTAAGCATCTTGGCAAAGATATTTACTTCTTTTTTTTTTTTTTTGAGTGATTGCAACTAAATTCTCTTGTCACCTTTCTAGGTCTCAAATTATATGATTCTAGGGGAATATTATGTAAAATATTGATTGGCCAATCACAACTATGAGTGCATGCCAATTTTACTGCCTTTTCTTCCCTCGATGTTAGGACTAGCTACCAAATCCAGTGCCTGCTTTTAGGCATCTATTAGGAAAGCACTATAATAGTAATTGGGGCAGGTTTGGGCCCCCCCGAGTTAAATCACTACAGTACATCAGGCCAGTGACCTCACCTCTCTGAGCACTGTTGTCCTCATCTGTTGAATAAGAACATAATCCTACCTATTTTCTTGGGATCTGGGAAGAACTAGATGAGATCATACAGAGAAATATGTGCGTGCATTTCTTGCTCAGCAAGTAGTAGTGATTATGATTAACACCTTGTCAAAAATGATGACACTTTTTCTGGGGCAAATCCAGATTTCCTTGGTGAGTTGCAACCCTATTGATGCCTTCTTGTTTGCCTTCCCTATAGCTAATACCCACACATCATGATATGCAGGTTGTCAGAGGCACAGGGCCTCAGAGGTGACCTTGTCTCACTACTTAATGGAATAAATGGGAACTGGGGACCCAGGAAGGGAGGTGCCCCCCCCCCCAGGGACATGCAGCTGATCAGTGGCAGTGCCAGCCACTGCCTGAGTTCTCCCTTCACCACACTTGCATTCAGCCTTTACCAGCTGTCAGAGCTGGGCCTGGCAGATACTCCTATTTGCATGGTTTTCAAACAGACATGGACCATGTTGACAGAGGGATGCTGTGCTCAGGGCATGTTCAGATCAGTACAATAGCTAGTTATCCAAACCCATGGGTTTGCAGAGGAGCCTCATGTGCCAGGGTGGAGGAATATTGCACAGGCCCTCTAAGCCAGGAGGGCTTCCGGTTATCATCTCATGTTGCAGAGGGGAAGGAAGCGGAGGCCTGGACAAGAGAACGGACTTGCTTGGCGTGGGCCCTGACTCCCTGTGAGACAGTAAGGTCATTCCTTCTCTCCTCTGGAGAGAAGAATTAGTTCCCGCTTCCCCTCCAAGGGGAGCTGGCCCCAGCTCTGTCTTCTGGGACCTTCTAGGAATCACCCTGAAGATAGGCCTGTGCCCAGCCCAGGGGTTAGCAGCTCCTAAATCACCTCATGTCATTGGCCTTGCAAAAGGCTTCTCAGTGGAGGGACCGTGTTATTTTCTGCCACTTCCTTCACACTGTCTATCCTCCTGTTTGTTTCTCTCTCCCTTGCCTCCTGCCCTCTTATTCAGAGGGGACAGTGGATGGCAGGGCTCACGACAGAGCTGACTTACAGACAAAGAGCCAGCCCCAGCATGAGGGGGCTCCTTTTGCAAGATCCGCTGCTGGGCAAGTCACTTCATGTCCACTTTAGGGCCAAATGAGATTTTGGCCCTAAATCTGTAAACTCTAGTTCTGGGAAGCTACTCACGTTACCAGCATGCTGCCTGGCTCCTGGCTGGCTCTTGGTAAACGCTTACTGAATTAGTTAGTGATGCAGCTTGTGCAAATTTAAGAGCATCTTCATTTACTCATGGTTTCCCATGACGTAAGTTGAGGCAGAATGTCTGGTAAGCAGCAGTTAGACTTGACAACAGACATGTGAACTCAAGCAAATTCACGATGGTGGACATTGTTATTCCAGGCGGAAGAACTACATCTTGCAAACTTACAAGTGTTGGGTAAACAGAACCATTCTGAAATAATGTGCCAGGCCTAACCCCACAGATCCTCTTGAAACTGAGGCATTTTTGAACCCAGAGAGGATTTTAGAGCCCCAAGAATGATCTTCCTCATCCTCAGTTTCCCTCCATTTACTCCATCTGTTCCCTAGGGTTTCAGAGCCCTGACTCCCCATCAGGACAGTCCTGGGGGCAGCTATGGTAGATGCCATCCCGTGGCCCACCCACAGCTCCTGAGCATCCCCGGTTCTAGAATTATCATCCTACTAAGAGCTCCTGCCACTCTCACCCAGCAAAAGGAGTAAGCCAGATGTCCAGGGAGTTAACGCTTTCAGGGCCCGCCCTGAGCCAGGGCTGGATGGGAAATGAAGGCCAGATCCCTCCCTGTCCTTCCCCCTTACATGGAAACTCCCAAACACTCCAAGGTATGTTCTAGTCTGTCCCCAGATGTCAGCTGAAGACAACCCCAATAGGATTGTGCCTCAGTTGCCTTCCCGGAAACCTGCTCATTGATTCACCTTGTACTGGCTCCCTGCTCTTCCCTGTCTCACCTCCCAGAACCCCTATCAGTGTGTCCTAGAATGACCTTCCAGATAATGTGCATTCTTACCCTTGTTTCGGGCACTCTTCTAAGGGCGCTACCCGTGGCTCTAGGTATGACAGGTATCCTCCTGTTGACCACACACTTTGGGCGTAGTGGAGCTAGCTTACACCCCTTTCAACTCCAAGTTCAGAGCACCTCCCCCAGGTCATCGCTGACTTCCACCAAACCACATTAGATGAGGATGAATGTGAGAGAACTGGCTTTTTTTCCCCCCTTATGAAAAGAAAAAATTCATGCTACTGCCAAAGTCTAAACATGGCTCAGAATTTGCAGCAGGGAAGGAAGTTGAGTGAAGCTGTGATTAGAGGCTTGTTTGTGCTGTTCGTCGTGAAATCTCCGCATCTGCGCTCTCACGCGCTGTCCCTGCCTTCATTAGGCCCGTTTGTAAGAACCGCAGTGAGCGATGATGATTTGCTTGAATTTCGCACTGCTTCTGTGTAGCATAAAAGACAGAGTTCGGAATTTTATAGTTTAGCACCTGATATGAAGGGATGGGGTCTTCCATCGCTCTAACAACGTAATTGCCATCAGAGTGTACCTAGTGGAGCATGGGCTTGTCCTCCCGTTTGCCGGCATTAATTGCCGTTTGGTCTTCGGGGTAAAAGATACGGGTCTATTCAGTGCTAATTTCCTGATCGGCTGCCAGGCACTTTATACCAAGTCCTCTGGGGGAAGTCAAGTTGAATGTGAAACGCTCCCTGCCCTCCCACGCCCCCCAGCGGCTTCATAATCTCTCTGGCCAAGTGCCAGCACCTTTGAAAACAGGAAGATAATTTCCCAAAACCTACTAGGAAACTTTCAGGGCATGTTCGACCCCAGTGTGAGACTCTGAGGCTGATTTTTAATATCCCGTTCCTCTGTCAGGGCCAGCGCCATGGCTTCCTTCACCAGGCCATGCATCTGGAAGGGCCAGTTTGTCAACGGCCGCTCGACTTGAAATAATTCGAGCGGAGACATAGCCCATCAAACTGTAGGAGACACTGGTAGGGATGTGGGTCAGCAGGAACATGAATTCACGTAAACGTGGGTTCTTTCGGATGGAAAGCCTGACCCTGACCTTGACACCTCCCAGCCCTCGTGACCCAGGGCTT